ACTTTGACCCATTCAAAATTTTGGGGTGATAAAAAGTCAATTTGGGGTGTGCACTTCATATCTGAGAGTCAAATAGAACCGTCAAACACTGTGCTTACAGCGCACTTTGAAAAATTCAAATTGTTTTGGTTGCTAATGCTAAATAGTACATTTGCGTCCTGCGGTGCACTTCATATCTGAGAGTCAAATAGAACCGTGAAATACTGTGCTTACAGCGTACGTTTAAAAATTTGAATTGTTTTGAGTGCTAAATAGTACATTTGCGTCCTGCGCTACACTTCATACCTGTGAGTCAAATAGAACTGTCAAATACTGTGCTTACAGCTCACTTTGAAAAATTCTAATAGTTTTGGGTGCTAAATTGTACATTTACATCCTGAAACCACGGAGCAACGCAGGGAGGAGTGGGCCTTGACAGATACAGGAGTAGGCAGGTGAAGTTCAGGTCAAGGGGCTGTCCTGTGGTTGTGCTAGGGGGCGTGGGTTAGAGGGGAAGTTAAATAGCGGCCACTTTAGGGTAAGTTCATTCTAACTTGGGCCTTTCTTACCTGTAAATTGTTGCAGGTCAGCTGGGCTCTTCTTTTCTTCTTTTTCAGGTGCAGCATGGCGTCCTTGGAAGAAATTCTGTCGGGTGTGCGGTCCGTGGTGAAGGAGAAGGGCATGGCGTGGCTGCCGGAGCAGCTGGGGGTTCCCCCCCATGTGGTACCGGACCGGAGGCCGGAGAGGAGAGCTAGGCCGCCCCAGCAGCTTAGTCCTGGAGCGGGTCCAGCAGCATGACGGAGGAGGAGCTCGGTGGGAGGCAGCGCGCAGCGGAGTGGTGGGGCAGCCAGAAAGCGGGGACTTGGAGCTGGTCGTCGGCCGGGACCGCCAGCCAGGCGCAACGCCGGGGCGGTGAGGTTGCAGGCCAGGAAGAGGCCTCCCTTGAAGAGCGCCCCCTGCCGGATGGCGTGGGGCGGGCAGGCGGAGGTGTCAGACGGTGCTGGAGTGGAGCAGGACGGAGGGGATTCAGCTGCAAGGCCCAGGAGCAGCCCAGGACGTCCCGGTGAGTCGCCCCCTGGGGGCAGCACTGAGGGGCAGGGGGGACTGAGAGGTGCTGGCAGCGACAGGACAGCGGTCTCACAGGTCATGGAGGGGGACCAGGTCAGCAGGGCACAGCAGGAGGCGGCTGGAGTTAGGTGCAGGAAGGATGGCGCTGCTGATTTAAGGGACCAGAGGAGCATGGCCAGGAGCGTGGGAAGGAGGGGAGATGGGCACAGCATCAGTATGTCAGGGGACACAGGCGAATTGAGGAGCGGCAGTATGGAGCGAAGTGGAAGCAGGCGAGCAGGTGTGCAGGCAGGGAGGAAGACGGACGCAGCAGACACAGGGCGGCGGGTGACTAGCCGGGAGGACGGTGGCATCCAGGACAACAGTGGACGGGAGGCCATTAGGGGTCGCTCCCAGGAACAGCGGGATAGGAGGAGCGCCAGCAGTGGGAATGGCGGAGGACATCAGCGTGGAGGGGCGGAATGGCGGGACAGCAGGATGGGTTCTGCAGGCAGAAGGAGACGTGGGGACAGGAGCCCAGCGGGGAATCGGAGCAGTAGGAGGAGGTCCGCTTCCAAGGACAGGTGGCTGAGGCGCAGTGAGTCAGGGTTGTCAGAGAGGAGCTACGCTGCACGAAGGAGGAGAAGAAGCGAGCAGGAGGGACGATACAGGCGGGGGAGTGGGGATGACAGGTCTGATCACAGGGATGAAGGGCGGGTGAGGCGGCAGTCGAACAGATCACCCAGGCTGTATTCTCCTTGCAGGTCGTTGAGTAGGACGCCCACGAGATCAACGCACGAACAGGCGGGCAGGAGTCGGCATCCCCTGGTTCCTTCTGGGTCGGCTGATGCTGTGGAAAAGATGGCGCCCCCATGGCCAGCAGCGGCCGGGGGCCTGAGCGGTGAGTCTCCAACTGCACCACACTCGGGAAGTTTACTAAGATGTTTAAGATCACTGTTAGAATCCTGGTCAGGGGACGGGGTGTCACCGACACGGTTTGAGAAGGTGTGGGCTGCGGATGGCGGTCGGGAAGCGGGGGTGAAGGCCGCAGCGTTCGCAGGGCCAAAGGGGGGTGAGGGCACCGCGGGGACGGGTCCAGGAGCGACGGGTGGCGAGGGAGAGCACGTCGATCTCTGTGGGGAAGTAACAGATGCGGCGCGGCAAAACGTGCATGTGTCTTTTGCGGGACCGCTGGGGTGCCACTTAAAGGTAGAGGTTAAGGATAAAATATGGAAAGGGGAATTTGTGGAAATATTTTCCCTGCTTCCCCTGGAGGAGTTTTAGATTTGAAAGAAGAGGATAAAAAGGATGCGAAAAAGGAGGAGGAGGAAAAGAGGCGGAGGTATCGGAAGATACCCAAGTCTTTTGGGAACTGGTTGAGAACTTTTTGTATCTTGGCGAGCGTGATCGGGGAAAAATACCCTGATCGCTGTTCGCAGCTTTTTTGTTATTTAGACGGGATAGGGGATGCATATCGGACCTACGGGGGTTTAGCATGGTGGAAATATGACGAGCAATTTTGTCAGCGATTAGCGACAAATCCGTCCATGCGGTGGGACCAGATGGACCTGCCTTTGTGGATGAGGCTGATGATGGCACAGAAGAGTGCCCCCTTTCTCGGAGCGGCCGGCACGGGCTCAGGTACCGTGTCGGCAGGCCAGAAGAAGGGTTTCTGCTGGCTCTACAATGAGAGCCAATGCAAGTGGGGTGCATCATGCAGATTTAAGCACGAGTGCTCCGGTTGCTGGGGTAATCATGGAGTCTCCGGGTGCTTTCGGAAAGGTAAGCCGAACTTGGGAGGGGGCGCCGGCGCTGCGGCTGCGTCGCCGGTGAAGGTAGGCGCGATGCTGCCTTGGTTAAAAATATACGATAACCAGGAGGTGGCGAAGTTTTTACGGCTAGGTTTTACAGAAGGTTTCAGGATTCCGTTTCAAGAAAGGGCTTCGGTTGCTTTATGTAAAAATCTTCGGTCAGTGGGGGAACATCCGAGGGTGGCTCGAGAAAAGTTATGTAAGGAAGTGCAATTAGGGAGGATGGTGGGACCATTCGCTTCCCCGCCGTTAGCTGGTTTGCGTGTGTCTCCACTTGGGGTAGTCCCCAAGAAGGAGGTGGGTAAATTCCGTATGACACATCATTTATCGTACCCTCAAGGTGCATCGGTTAATGATGATATCGACGAGGCCCTGTGTTCTGTTTCCTACACATCATTTGACAAGGCTGTTGAGTGGGTCAGGAAAGCAGGACAAGGGGCACTGATGGCAAAATTGGATGTGGAAGCAGCATTTAGGCTGCTTCCTATACACCCAGATTGTCATCACTTATTGGGGTGCTATTTCGACGGGGGGTATTTTGTGGACTTATGCTTGCCTATAGGTTGTGCCATCTCGTGTGCTTACTTCGAGAGGTTTAGCACTTTTTTGGAGTGGGTCGTACGACGGGAGTCGGCTGGGGTTGCTGTTGTGCACTACCTTGACGATTTCTTATGCGTTGGCCCGCCACGCACGGAGCGCTGTAGCCAAGTGTTACAGACCTTCCAGTGGGTGGCGCACATGTTTGGGGTGCCGCTAGCAGAGGACAAAATGGTGGGGCCCACTACGTGCCTCAGCTTCCTGGGATTGGAGATCGACTCGGTGTCGAGGGAGTGCAGGTTGCCCGGGGACAAGCTACACGCCCTTCAGCGACTAGTGGACACGGTTGGAAAGGCAAGGAAGGTAACCTTGCGTGAGCTTCAATCGTTGATAGGGAGCCTGAATTTTGCGTGCCGAGTGATTCCTATGGGAAGGGTTTTTTGCAGACGGTTGGAGCGGGCGACAAGCGGGGTGAGAAAACCGTCGCATTATATCAGGGTGTCAGTGGACATGAGAGAGGATTTGGAGGTATGGGCGAGGTTTTTGAGGGAGTTTAACGGGAGAGTGTTTTTTCGCGATCCGTTGGGATCCTCCGCAGCCATAGGTTTGGTTACGGATGCATCGGGTAGCGTCAGATTTGGGGCATACCTAGCGGGAAAATGGTGCGCGGAGGGGTGGCCGGAGGCATGGAAAGTGAGCCCCTTGATTAGGAACTTGGCCTTTTTGGAATTTTTCCTGGTTGTCGTGGCAGTGGCCTTATGGGGTCCGGAGTTAGCCAATAAGAGGGTGGTGTTCAATTCGGATAACATGGCAGTGGTACAGATTATCAACGGATTATCCGCTTCCTCATGGCCAGTGGTACGGTTGTTGAGGCAATTGGTACTCTTGTGCATGTCATTTAATATTGTGTTTCGCGCTCTGCATATTCCGGGCTCACCAATGTAGTCGCTGATGCGCTGTCTCGCTTACAGTGGGAGCATTTTCGGGAGGCGGCGCCGGAGGCAGAGGGAGAGGGTCAAGCCTGTCCTGCGGAGATGTGGGAGCTCGGGACGTCTTGCTTGGGGAGTACATAAAGAAGTCTCTGGCGCCTGGAACTTGGTTCTCCTATGTTAAGGTTTGGCAAGTTTGGGAGGATATAATGCAGCAGGTAGGGGCGGAGGGCTCTGGGAAGCAAGCATCGCCGTCGATGGTAGATAGGCACTTGTCAGCGTTAGCATTTTGTTACCGGGAAACTGACGGAGGTCAAGCACAGAGAGATGGACACAGGTTTCTTCAGGAAGGAAGAGATCTTTATTCGATTCACCGACCGGGACTCAGAGGGACTTATGTCACCAAAAACAGCAAAGATCTGAGTACTGAATACATAGAGTACATTCCTTATATAGCACTGTAGCTTCTCCCATAATTAGCTACGCCCACACATACCCTTAACCTAATCAATGAATAGAGTCTAAACTCATCCATCCGGTCTAACCACGTGGCTCATCTGAAACAAAGGAGAGGGACGCGTAATTCCAGTTCCTGCATTCCTGCACATGCTCAGTACAGTGATGACAGTATCTTAGCTACGTGTAACTAACTAACTGATACTACAAACACATGTACCTACATATGCCTTGTGGCAATCTTGGCCTGCTAAACTTGTATTTTACTGGAATTCCATCACATTCCCCCCTTTGATGCTTCTAATTTAAAATAATTCCAGCTGCATCACCAATCATAGTTTGCTTACACCTCAAGTTGCCATAAACTAGACTAGACTTTGCGAGTCTCTAAAGATACGAACCCCTCAACATTCCTCTTCCTGCATGTATTCTCCTTGATCTAGAGCTTCATACCTGCAAACAGCCATTACCTGTGCTGCGGCCTTTCTTTCTGCTATACTTTCTATAATGCTCTGCATAGACCTAATTACCAAAGGAATCAGACATGGCAGAAGGAGACACAACATCAAAATCAGTATGACTCCACCTACCAATGCCTTGATTCCTCCAAACTGCTCATACCAACTACCAAACCAACTACTCGGATTATACCCTTTCCATACCTGAGTAGGTACATATGCTAGCTTAACCATATGGCTAGTAAGCTCAGCTATTGCTTGCCCTTCATCATCTATTTGAAGACAACAATTGCTTAGATTAAACTTCCCACATACACCTCCCTCTACTGCCAATAGGTAATCCAAAAATAATCTATTCTGGTAGATGGCTGTCCTCATCCTAGTGTTATGCTTCGCTAGGAGATTGAGCGCTTGTGATGTTTCATTGGTAACTATCTCAACTACTGCTTGCAATCTTATAATACGATTAAGCATATATATTGGGGTTCTGTATCCATAAGTACCATCCTCTGCCCACGTAGCTGGCCCATAATAATCTATAATACGCTGGGGAGGCCACTCATCATCTTCCCAGGTACCTATCTCTAGGGGTGCCCTTTTCTTCCTATGATTTACATCATATACTTTAACTCCCAAAGTCTCTCCTGTTTCAATTGGCAACAAGAAGAAGGATGGTTTGAGCATACCCAATACACATGCCCCTTCCCAGTCCTGTGGTAACTCCGAATATGCTTTCTTAGCACAAATCCAGTACAAATTTGCTGGGGCTTTCCAACTAGATGTAGCAGATAGGTCAAACCATACATCCTTTAAATTGGTATAATTTGCAAACGGATTAGACGGTTCCGAGACATTTGAAGCTGACCACCAAATAGTATCCTTTGTATCGTCATTATAGGCTTTCTGCCCTAAACAAGTCAATTCTCCTACAGATGTATTAAACATTATTCCTTTCCTTGCTATACAAACATAACCTATAATGGAGGTCTTTAATCGCCACTCAGATTTACTTCTAACACTCACTTGATAATCAGATTGAGAAGATATTAGTTGTTCAACTGTCTCAGAACCAGAATACATTACCTCCTTTGCTTCCCAAGGCCATTGGTCTCCTATATTAGTACCTCCACACACATAGCAGTTGGTTACATTAAGACTACCAGCAATGCTCTCAGCTAGGTCTATGAATACGTTTTTGGCATTATGGGGAACCTTATCTTCCACACTCATCTCCTCATAAAAAGAATGGAAAACCTGATGAGTCTGGGGCGCCACTGTATCTGTGTGAAGAACTGACTCTGCTCGGTTTCGAACCCTGGTTTACATGGTGTTAAACCTCTTCCTTACCAGTACAAAGTTTTGGAGTCCAGTAGCCAGATCAGCAATATTTTCTGCCAGAGGTAGCCACTCGTTACCCAGGTGGTTGAGCCCCTGAGCCTTGAGTGGCCTTCTGGTCTTAAGCAAAAAAGTACACCAGCCTGCCTTTTGCAAATTTGACTGAGATCTAATACCATTGGTTGTAGAGTCAAGATTATCAGTGACAACTCTCTTCAGCTGTATCTGGTCAGGTGTCTGGTTTTTGGCCTATAAAAGCCATTTCCTGTCTCTGTACCTTTGCCAGATTATTGTGGTTCCTGTACTCTCTAATCAAGCGTGTTCCTGTTTCTCCTTCCTGTTGCTGAATTTGGACTGTTTTGACTTTGCTGCTTCTCCTTCCCACTGACCTCGGCTTGCCTCACTACGATTATCATCTTTCTGTTCCAGTCTCCCATCTCTGCTTAAGACCAGAAGGCCACTCAAGGCTCAGGGGCTCAACCACCTGGGTAACGAGTGGCTACCTCTGGCAGAAAATATTGCTGATCTGGCTACTGGACTCCAAAACTTTGTAACATCAATATCATTACAATCTGTCTCTATTCCTATGTATAATATCGTCCCAGGATCCAAACCTGTTCCATATATTTGGAACCCAAATAGATTCCCAAATCTATCTATAAATAGCTCCGGGTCCTTGATAAGTATATGGACTGGGTTACACTCCATAGACTTACAATATGGCTTGGTAGGCAATCTAGTGATAATCATATCCTTATCTACTGTCTGTCCCCAGGTTGCCCATCCCACACAGGACCAATACGGACAATAATTGTAGTCTTTATTTAGGCAGTTTGGATCTATATACTTATGCTTATTACTAGGACAAATATACTTATCATTAGACCCATACGTTCTTTCCCATTTAAGACCACCACATACATTCCATGGCTTCCTACTACCTGATATCGCCTTACATGCATCAAATAGCAAAACACCTGGAGAATGTACGCTTTCTAGTACAGTCTTATTTATCAGGTTCCCCTGTGCGTTCTCATTCCGAATAGTCAACCAAATTGTACGGGGCTGATACTCAGGATTAAAACACCTAGGTTCTCCTGCTCCTATATGGCATACACTATAATCTGTACCTAGGTATCTACACTTTGATACATGTCCTGTGCACTCATATTGCGAATGCCAAATAAGGGTCTGGGAAATACGATTGCCTGTTTTCGTAGTCTTAATGCAAACCTCGCAGCCTGGTGTGTCGGTACTTCTACCTTCCTGAATAATTAAAAACACACATATATACATCATCAAACACATTACTCCTGACATCTTCTTCCTAATTCTTCGACCGTGCGACGGCACCTCAGCTTCCAGGCGTGTGAGGGCTGCAGGGAATGGAGTCCTTCTGATCCTCACTGTTCTTCACAGAGGATTCCTCTGGCTTAAACGTTGGTAGGTGGTCAGGCTTTATTATGGCCGTAAAACACTTACTTGTAGATCTTTTAATCTAACTGGGTCACTCGCTTCAACCGGATCTTGCAGGGATTCTCAGGATCTTGAGTAGCTTGCCAAGAATCTGCTGCTGGTTTAACCCTGGAGTGATGAATCCACGGAGTCACCTCTGCCACCTTTATAGCTTTTGGAGTAGACAAAAGAACAGCATAAGGACCCCTCCACTTTGGCCCCAACGGTACACTGTTCCACTCCTTTATCCAAACTTGGTCTCCTGGATGGTAAGAATGGACAGGTGGATAAATATTTACAGGTAACCTATCTTGTACCCATTTCTGTACCTCCTCCATAGTTTTACCCAACTCTACGAGGGATCTCTTCCCCTGAGCGATCTGCTCAGCTCCCTCGCGCTCAGCTCGGCAGCTCGGCATGTCTGTTAGACGCAAGGCTAGCTAGGCATTTGCCCTGGGCATTTGGGGGCGGCGTTTTTTGCCGCCCCCTGAAAAATGCTGCCCAAGGCAAATGCCTAGTTTGCCTCGCGGCTAATACGTCCCTGGAGTGAGGCAGAGCTGGAGGAGAGAGTAGAGCACTGCCCTAACCTTCAGCGTTATATGGTAGGCCCGAATGCTGCTCTACGAATGGTGAGGCCAGAACAAGTACAGGCGATAGTAGATTGGATGGCTGACAGTGCATCCAGTTCCTTAACATTGTCTCTCACCCTGTCCCCTGATGAAAGCTCAGAGTTGGCACATGCAGCCCATGGTCATCTGTCTTTCACCTCACTCCCTTGCAAATCAGCCAAGCAGTCTGAGCTACAAGTCATACAGCAGTCTCTTATGCTTTTTGATGACTCTGCTGGCGGGGTTTCAGTGGGCCATCCACCTAGCCCTGCCCCAGAAGTGGAAGAAATTGAGTGCACTGATGCACAACCACTTATGTGTCAAGATGTGGACATGCAAGGACCACCGCAGCACATCTCTGATGATGATGAAACACAGGTGCCAACTACTGTGGCATTCTGCAGTGTGCAGACCGGCAAGGAGGGCAGGGTTGAGGAGTGGGTGGAAGATGATGTGGAGGATGATGAGGTCCTAGACCCCACATGGAATGAAGGTCATGCGAGTGATGTGTGCAGTTTTGAGGAAGAGGTGGTGGTCGTACAGAGGCACCAGCACAGCATAAGAGGGAGCAGGGTGCAAATGTGGAGCGGCCGTCCCCTGGATGGTACACTTCCTCCTACTGCCCGCTGCACCCATAGACCGAGCACACCAAAGCCAGCTCCAAGGAGTTCCCTGGCGTGGCAGTTATTCAGACAATGTGCTGACGACAAGACACGAGTGGTTTGCACGCTGTGCAATCAGAGCCTGAAGTGAGGCATAAACGTGCTAAACCTGAGCACGAGCTGCATGACCAGGCATCTACATGCAAAGCACGAGCTGCAGTGGAATAAGCACCTCAAAAACCAAGAAAGGTCTCAGGCTCCTCTTGCTTCCTCTTCTGTCTCGGCCTCTTCCTCCACCACTGGAGTCACAGTGGCAACTGCCACCCTGCAAACAGAGGATGTGGCAGCAATGCCACCACGTCCGCCACCGTCCCCAAACATCTCCACACTGTCCCATGGAAGCGTTCAGCTGTCCGTCTCCCAAATACTGGAGAGAAAGAGGAAGTACTCCCCTAGCCACCCGCGATCCCTGGCCCTGAATGCCAGCATTTCAAAATTTGTGGCCTTTGAAATGCTGTCATTCCGTCTGGTGGAGATGGACAGTTTTAAAAACTTGATGGCGGTGGCTGTCCCACAGTACGTGGTTCCCAGCCGCCACTACTTTTCCAGGCGAGCCATCCCTTCCCTGCACAACCAATTGGCGGACAAAATCAGGTGTGCACTGCGCAACGCCATCTGTGGCAAGGTCCACATAACTACAGACATGTGGACCAGTAAGCACGGGCAGGGATGCTATATCTCCCTAACTGCACACTGGGCAAATGTAGTGGCGGCTGGGCCTGAAGCGGATAGCAGTTTGGCGCATGTGCTTCCGCCACCAAGGATTGCAGGGCATTTCTATTTGCCTCCTGTTGCCTCCTCCGCTTCCTCCTCCTCTATGACCACCTCATCCAGGCAGCGTAACACATTCACCACCAACTTCAGGACAGCCAGGGGGAAACGACAGCAGGCTGTTTTAAAACTCATATGTTTGGGGGAAAAACCCCACACCGCGCAGGAGCTGTGGACAGGCATGGAACAACAGACCGATGAGTGGTTGTTGCCACTGAGCCTCAAGCTTGGCCTGGTGGTGTGCGATAATGGGCGAAATCTCGTAGCAGCTCTGGGCCTAGCCGGTTTGCCGCACATCCCTTGCATGGCGCATGTGCTGAATTTGGTGGTGCAGAAATTCCTGAAAAACTACCCAGATATATCAGAGCTGCTGCAGAAAGTGCGGGCCGTCTGTGCACGCTTTTAGCGTTCTCACCCTGCTGCTGCTCGCCTGTCTGCGCTGCAGCGTAACTTCGGCCTTCCCGCTCACAGCCTCATATGTGACGTGCCCACAAGGTGGAACTCCACCTTGCACATGCTGGAGAGACTGTGCGAGCAGCAGCAGGCGATAGTGGAGTTTCAGATGCAGCACGCACGGGTCAGTCGCTCTGCGGAACAGCACCACTTCACCACCAATGAGTGGGCCTCCATGTGAGACCTGTGTGCCATTTTGCACTGTTTCGAGTACTCCACCAACATGGCCAGTGCCGATGACGTCGTTCTCATCCTTACTATCCCGCAACTATGTCTCCTTGAAAAAACGCTTCGGGCGATGATGAAAGAGGATGTGGCACAGGAGGAAGAGGGGTCATTTCCACGGTTATCAGGCCAGTCATTCACAAGTGGCTTGGAGGGTGGGTTCCTGCACCAGCATAGGTCAGGTACACAATTGTCCAGCCAGGGCACAGTTCTGGAGGATGAGGAACCGTGTTCACAGCAGGGTGGCACCCAACGCAGCTCGTGGGCATCACTGGAGCATGGCTGGGGGGATACGGAGGACACATACGCCATACTTAATTCCCTCACTGGAGTGTGATCGGAAGATGCGCGACTACAAGCGCACGCTGGTAGACGCGCTGCTGAGAGCATTCCCAACTGACTCCAGGGGCTCAGTGGAAGCACAAGGCGAAAGCAGAAGAGGAGGAAGAGGTCGCCAACGCAGCTGGGGCACCACAGCACCTCAGAAGGCAGGGTTAGCATGGCCGAAATGTGGAAAAGCTTTGTCAGCACGCCACAACAACCAGCACCACCATCTGATATGGAACGTCTTAGCAGGAGGCAGCATTTCAGCAACATGGTGTAACAGTACGTGTGCACACGCCTACACATACTGACTGATGGGTCTGCCCCATTCAACTTCTGGGTCTCCAAATTGGGCACATGGCCTGAACTTGCCCTTTATGCCTTGGAGGTGCTGGCCTGCCCTGCAGCCAGCGTATTGTCTGAACGTGTGTTTAGCATGGCAGGGGGCGTTTTTACAGACAAGCGCAGCCACCTGTCCACAGCCAATGTGGACAAGCTCACGTTTATTAAAATGAACCAGGCATGGATTCCACCAGACTTGTCTGTACCTTGTGCAGAATAGACATTTATACCGGCCTCACCCAGCCATTGTTATGCTCAAGTGCACTTTTCTTTTTTTATATGTCCCAATATTTTGGGGGCTACCCCAATTAAATAAATAAATAAAACAAACAAATAAAAAAACAGTGTTGGCTAGCTCCTCCTCCTCCACCACCGCTTCCACCTACATCGCCACGGTCACCGCCTCCTCAACCTATGGGCAGGGCCGGCGCTACCTGTAAGGCGGACTAGGCAGCCGCCTAGGGCGCCCCTTGGGAAGGGGCGCCGCCAGGAGCGCCGGCCCCCCTCATGCTGCAGCCGCCCGAGCGCTCTGTAAAGACCCTCAGGCGGCTGCAGCATTGCCCGGGCGGTGCGTCCATGAGGGCGGACCGCACCGCCCGGGCGCAGTATGAGGAGAGGGGCTGACAGGAGGGAAGCGCTCAGTGCTCCTTCCTGTCACTCCCTCTCTGTAGCGTGGCCGAGCCCAGTATAGTCGGCGGGTACAGGGAGCAGCTGTCTCCTGTACCCGGCCGGACTAACAGGAAGTGCACACAAAAGCTCCCTGTACCCGCGGACTATACTGGGCTCGGCCACGCTACAACACAGGTAGGGGAAACAGGAGGGAGGGAGGGGGAAGAAAGAGGGAGGGAGGGGAGGAGGAAACAGGGAGGGAGGGAAAGAAACAGGGGGAGGGAGAAAGAAAGAAACAGGGAGGGAGGGAGGAAGAGGAGGGAAGGAAAAGAAAGAAACAGGGAGGGGAGGGGGGGGAGAAAGAAACAGGAGGGAGGGGTGGAGAAGGAAACAGGAGGGAGTGGGGAAGAAAGAAACAGGAGGGGAGGGTGGGAGAAGGAAACAGGGGAGGGAGGGGGGAGAAGGAAACAGGAGGAGGGGAAAGAAAGAAACAGGGGGGGAAGAAACAGGGAGAGGAAGGGGAGAAGGAAACAGGGAGGGAGGGAAAGAAAGAAACAGGAGGAGAAGAAAAAACTGACAGGGGGGGGAGAAAGAAACTAACAGGGAGGTGGGGAGAAAGAAACTAACAGGGAGGTGGGGGGAAAGAAACTAACAGGGAGGTGGGGGGTAAGAAACTAACAGGGGGGAAGAAACTAACAGGGAGGGGGGAAAGAAACCAACAGGGAGGTGGGGGGAAGAAACTAACAGGGGGGGAACTAACAGGGAGAGGGGAGACATTGACAGGGAGGGGAATTGACTGGGAGAGAGAAATTGACAGGGAGGGGGGAGTGACAGGGGAGGGAGGGGGAATGAGAGTAACAAGGGAGGGGGGAGAAGAGTGACAAGGGAGGGGGGAGAGATTGACATCCATCACACACCCACACACACACACAATCACACAGAATGCACCCCTTACACACAAAGACAATGAACCCCTTGCACACAGAAAAACACACAATGCATTACACACACAATGCATTACACACACACACACACGCAATGCAACCCTTATACACAATGCATCCCTTACACACACAGAAACACACAATGCATTCCTTACACACACCCAATGCACCCCTTAAACACACTCAAAGCACCCCTTACAGACTCACACACTTCATCCCTTACATACACAGAAACACACCTTGCAGCCCTTACACATACAAACACAGATTCACACAATGCATTCCTTACACACAAATCAGGACATCCCCTACACACTACACCCCCTGTGAACAAACTCATTGGTGGAACATGAAGGTGGACCCTGGGACCCAGACCTTGAGCTGTCTAAAGGGCCCCCAAAAAATGGAGCTGCTTCTCGTTCTCCCAGAACATTGATTTTTGTGACCACAGTTACAAACAGCCTCCAGAGATCCTGTTATACACCAGACCAGTGGAGCCAGACTGTAGCTAGAGCCCATCATCATCCTCATCTGCTTGTAAGTAGGTAATCTAGTATATTATTTGTGTCACTAATCTCTAATTTACCTCACATTAAAGAAGCACTATAGTCCCCAGAACCACTGCAGCTTAATGTAGTGGTCCTGGTGTCTATAGCCTGTCCCTGCAGGCCTTTTAATGTAAACACAGCGCACTGCAGCACTGCAGCACTAGCTGCTAGTTAACATGGCAGGTCATATGGGTGGGGCATTGTGATGTCACGGGGGGGCAAACTTTACTTTTGCCTTGGGCGGCAAAAATCCTTCTACCGGCCCTGCCTATGGGTCACTTAGTATAAACTATGTACACAATAGCAGAGGCTTGTGAAGGCCTTTTCTCCATGCATCAGGAGTTGAGCTCAGTTTGAACAATGAAAGAGAATACCCTGCACTCCAACCCTCTCTCAAATGGATAATTCTGGTGATCCTCCTGACAGCCATGCTTTAGATTTTGATTTATCTTCTTCCAAAGTTAAAATCAAAGATTCCATCTAGTGCTATTTTATGGCTCAGCTGTATTTTTAATTTTGGTGTATTTTATGTTATTTTAAGTGATTTCCCTATTCACATTTGTTTGCAGGGCACTTGTCCTACTCTTACCTCCATTTTACTTCTTTTTGCAGCCCTCTAGCCCTTTCCAGGACTTTTTAGAGGCATTTTAGTGCCCAAAAGCTCAGGTCCCCATTGCCTTCAATGGGGTTCGGGGTCAAGTTCGATCCCGAACCTGGACTTTTTCCGAAGACTGGCCGAACCCGCCGGACCCGAACATCCAGGTGTCCGCTCAACTCTAGAAATCAATAAGTCTGCATTGATATTAGGAGCAGCTCCAGGATTGCAAAAATCCTCAGTTTATAATCTATTCTACTAAAAATTTAGAATGTCTCAATTTTTGCAGACTTTAGTACGAATTTGCAGTTCACAGCATCATGGAAGATTCTGAAGTGACTCCGCTCATCAGTGTGGTCTTGTTCAAAAGAAACTGAAAATCAATATGCAATTTTTTATTTTATTTTTTGTGCAAAGCACAATCTATTAGTTAGTCCCATGTATTTATTTTAAAATTCAAATATAAGGAAACAATGTCATCTAGCACACTCCCTTAGGAAATATTTTCTGACTTGTAGTACTTATAGATAACCACTAGATGGCAGCCGTTCACACAACTATAGCACACACTGTGTCAATTTAAAAAGCCAAAATCTAATGCACCTTCCCATTAGAATAAAAATGGGTTTCCTGGCTAATCATGGCAGCATCACTTATGGGTAGCTCCTCCCTTAGCAGTCACAGGACAGGAATTAATTAGATTAATTAATCAGACCGATAGGTGTAAAGAGTCCCTCCTCCCCTTACACCACAGTCTTTTTTCTGTCCTTAGGTGCTTACACAGGACTTAAAATACTTTCTTTGCTTGGTCACCTTCCTGCGTTTGTCGTGGGTTCTTTCCAAGTGAAGTTCAGCCTCTCTTCATTTGATGAACCCAGTAAACCGCCGGCGCGAGCAGGCCAGGACCAGTTGGTTTAGGTTCGCTGAACTGCTACGTGGAATATGTATGGTGTTTTCTCAGGGAGACACATCTGCAAGGTAAATGGTGGGGTTGGACCTCCTTAAAAATTCCCCTTGTGCAGTACCCCTATAAATTGTAGATTATACTAGCTTTAGTGTACCTATAATCTTAATTTTATTAATGACAGGAGACGAGTATTTGCTTTAGTCTCTCTTTACTAGAACTCCACAGCAGCACAGAAAAACAACCAATCAGAAAAAAGTTAGGTTCTATAAAACTCCCCTCCCCATACAGCATTGCCTCTTTCAAGCTGCAACAAAAACAGAATAAAAGGCAGAAAACATAAAATTGGAAGAAACAAAGTCCTAGATACAATGAATACAGCAATGTCCACCATCCGAGAAGAACTGCCAAACCAGATAGCGCTGATGGACTGTAAACTGAGAGAAAAACAGAATCGAACAGGTTGATTATCCAATGAAATGTACTCTGAATAAACATGTAGGTACCCAATGTAGCAACCAAAAGTACCTTAAAATGTAGATATCCCAACCCTACTTATGAAAAAACAGACATAAGAACAGGAGACAGGTAGCAGAGACAACAAGCAGAGTTGCATACGTACCTGATTAATTCAAACTATTAAAATTAAACAAGGGAGGGATAAGAATGGGTGGGAAATACTCGCCTCCTGTCATTAATAAAATTAAAGGACCACTCTAGGCACCCAGACCACTTCAGCTTAATGAAGTGGTCTGGGTGCCAGGTCCAGCTAGGCTTAACCCATTCTTTTATAAACATAGCAGTTTCAGAAAAACTGCTATGTTTATGAATGGGTTAAGCCTTCCCCTATTTCCTCTAGCGGCTGTCTCATTGACAGCCGCTAGAGGCGCTTGTGTGATTCTCACTGTGAAAATCGCAGTGAGAGCACGCAAGCGTCCATAGGAATGCGCCCGCAGCTTCTGCCGCGCGTGCGCATTCAGCCGACGGGGAGGAACGGAGGAGGAGAGCGCCCCGCCCAGCGCTGGAAAAAGGTAAGTTTTTACCCCTTTCCCCCTTCCAGAGCCGGGCGGGAGTGGGACCCTGAGGGTGGGGGCACCCTCAGGGCACTATAGTGCCAGGAAAACGAGTATGTTTTCCTGGCACTATAGTGGTCCTTTAAGATTATAGGTACACTAAAGCTAGCATAATCTACAATTTTATAACATGACAGGAGGCTTCGTATTTGCTGTTTTAACGCTCAGTCAACAAATCCAATGCTGTTTGTTTTGCTGGTACCTATTCCGGGGGCTATCCAAGCAATCCTAAATGGACTTTCCAACTGCGATAAATGACAATAGACCGATCGATGAAGATGCCAGTTGACGAAGCATCCCAAATACGGGAAAAAACACCATCCGCTGATAGATACATTGTACGTGGAGTTGCGACCTGTTTCCTACCAGCCAGTCCATGAGCTGCCAAGCTGACCTATTTAGCCATTTCCCTGTAGTTATAAAATGTCGAAGGTTATTTGCGGACTTAGGGCCTCGATAAGACCAGATGTCTCAACTCTTGATGTGTAAGGTTGCTCCCCCGATCGTGCCCGGGTCACCCGGCGATGTGGCCTTGCAGGCAGATCTTCAATCTCAAGGAATGTCCACCACCAATTCCATAACAGAACCAAGTAGGATCTTTCGTTCCCTGATGGCCTACCTGGTGAGATGTCTCATCCGGGAATACATTTATTATGCAGGCAAGAGTGTGGAAAACTAGCTCTATCCCAAGTGATTCCAATATTCCAACTGGACTGTGTAATCCACGGCTGCAGTAGAGAAAGGACTCCAAAAAGGACGTCCAATCAGGGTCCCAAACTGAACTTATGTGGTGGAATGGTGGTCGACTATACTGGAAATAGTGGGTCCCAGAAATATTCAAAGGGATGGGAAATGTAATCCAGAGTTGAGATTCCCATCCAGATGTCAACGTCTAAGACTGATAAGATGTACGGATCCAATGGCGATTGGGACCTGTATAACAACGAAGAGTCCACTACAGTGAGAGAGTGAAATAGTCCGACTACCCGTCGTACGATCCTGTTTCATGCCCGACTTGTCAAAATTCATGTAGGGGTTCCTGGTATACACGCCACCTACAAGATAGGGTATAATATAGTGAGACCCTTAGGTCCCTGTACCCCTGACTGTCCGGGCACGTATCTCCCAGAGTAGGCCCTAGGTCAAGGGACCCAGGAATGTGAGTTTGATAATTGAAGTAAAGTCTCCCTATAGAGGGATACCTCCCTTCTTAGCTTGGAGTCCCGCGAACACATAGCATTCTCCAATACGCAGGCAAGGCGTAAAGTCCCTTCGCTCATGACGGGTGACTCCAGAGAGCAGATATAGCAAAAAAAGAAGGGTCTAGCTTCAGCCGTCCGAAACGTGTGTTGTCCCGTTTGAGAATGTCGGCAGCCCTTTCTGAGTCTGCTACACATCCTGAGCCGTACTCCAGTGGTAGGTTGTGACCCGACTTTGACGTCTGTGTAGGAGTTGGGGCACACCAGGTTCCTCCATAGAGTCTCGTAGGTCTCCTTGATGGTAGTTGAAAAAGTGGGTTAGCGCGAACCCAAACCAAAACGGCTCTCATGAGGGATATATAGAGTATAGACGGAGGGCCCTCCATCTCCGAACCATGTTCTCCAGGTATGTGCTCAGAGGAGTAGGGGCAGTCCTGCCATCTTATCCCAAGATTGTAATGACCAGGGAACACAAGACAACCGGGGTTTCCGGTCTTACCATGCGATCCATGCATATGGTGTACTTTCAGACCTGGTAGTAGGCCTTCCCTAGTCTTGTTACCCGAGCAAGGCAGTGCCCGTTTGCTCCATGAAGGTCTCCGTATCTCATGTCATCTTGATATGGGAAAAACTGTCTGCGCAGTTTGTTCGCAATGGTCTGGATATCCAAAACAGAATGCAATTCTCTGTTTTATATAGCGCAGAATATACCAAAACCTGCACTCTTGTAATACCTGAGGCTCATCCGTTAGCCGTACCATCTCCAGGAGTGTGTGTAAATAAGTGGGAGTCTCCCCCCGTTATACCTCTCTGAGTATTTCTCGCATTTAGTACAGTGGTCCGGATCCAGTAGATCCATTACAGGAGATAAAATAGAGGGATCCAGTCTAAATATGTATATCCTGCATGATCAGGCAGCCCTCCATAACGAAATCAGTAGCACGGTCGTTAGATCTAATTGAATGCAGGAAGGACGCCCCTCTATGCACAGGTACAAGCCTTTGTGATGAACAGATGGACGGCACCGTAGAGCGTTGAGTGTATGAGAGTGTCAGCGTCCGGCTGATAGCCTGAGCGGGCCGCACCCCTTAAAAACCAAACAGTAGAGTCTACATCCGTGACCGGTTCTCTCTATGAGAATGTGTCATTCCAAACATGTCCTTTGTATCCAGCTCAGTATTGGGCTGAGGTTGAGGGAGGGCCGCGCCCTCTAATAACAAATCAGTGTCCGGTTCTGTATATGAGAGGGGTTCACTCTGTTCCTGAAAATACAACATCATTCTCGGATCGAGGTGATGAAGGGCCGCACCCTCTTGTGATCCAAACTAGAGTCCCTTAGAGACTCAGGGTGACCAACTGCAGGGGTACACCAATTACTAATATCAGCATAAGACTGAGGTCCTTAGGTGGGTCTCTCCCCGACCACGAGACCTCTCTCTGAATCGCTCACCTGAGAAAGAATCAACTGGTAGTAAACCAGACCGATGGCAGATGGGATAGATACAACCTCGGGTCGTGTCCATTCTTAATAACAGAAAGGGATGGTGCGAAAATGCAACCTTTGGAAACAATGATGGAAACTGCCAACTGACCGCCCAGATCCCGTGCGCGCGTGCAGGGTTCAGGATAACCGTCGGTAGCCTGTGGAAAGCTGGAGACGTTCTCCACAATCCACGAGTGCCCGGGAGGTCGGAGGAGGTCAAGTCAGGCCTCTCGACGACCCGAGCGATAGGAAAAGGAAGGCATGAAAACAAAAACAATAATAAATGTAGATAAGGGTAAATACGTAAATTCTAACTTCGGATAGAAGGCAAATAGCAGGCTGGAAGGCAAGTCAAGTAAGCCCCACTGAACAGGACCAGGAGCTAACCTTACGCAGGAATAACTACCGATATCTAGATGGATACCAGGAGGCAGTTAGCGGGTTAGTTGTTTAAGACAAGGAAACACTGTGTCCCCCTGTAGGCGTCTGAGTACCGGTCCCTGCCTGTGCGAAGTTCTCTTTGGAGATGTGCCGTTGCCGGGCTGGTGTAAACCGTGGATGCGTGCCCAGGGTCTTCATAAGAAACCTTGCCCTTCAGGCATGAGGTTTAGGGCCTTCACCCTTCCCACCATACTCAGGTGGCTGTATACTGGCGTCCTCTTGGATAGTATGGCAACGGTGCTTGCCTGGACACCTGTCTATCTCCATATCACTAGTGGATACTGGGTTTTCCTCAGTGATATTCCCCCAGGCCTGCGGCCAAAAGGGGGTTCGGCACCAATAGAGTAGGCCCGTCAGAAGGGCACAGGCCCAGCAGGCCAAACGAATGGTCACAGAATAGTTGGCCAATCAAATAGGCACAGACATAGCTGGCATTCAAATAGGCACAGACATAGCAGGCCAATCAATGGGGTACAGACATAGCAGGCCAGTCAATGGGGCACAGACATAGCAGGCCAGTCAATGGGGCACAGACATAGCAGTCCAATCAATGGGCACAGACATAGCAGGCCAATCAAAGAGGCACAGACAGAGCAGGCCCGTGATAGCCTTCCGACAGCCGTAGGGCCCATCTGCGTGTGTAGAGTCCACTATATATATATATATATATATATATATATATATATATGTATATATATATATATATATGTGCGTAATGAAACAGGGAAACCTTGGGTTAAATAATTTCAATATGCAAAACCCACTAGCAGGGTAGTAATGTGATTATAACAGTATTTTTACATAATACCTCTGGATTAAGTTGCTATAATGTCTCCAGTCTAATATCACAGATGTTACAGCTACTAGTGATGAAGTGCTATAGCACTATACAGGGAACTGGCAGACTTTAATGTTTGGCCAAAGGCAGAAAACCAAACTGCAGGCATCTCCGAGCAGTACTGGGTGAACTGCCTAAAGCCTATTCTCCACCCAGCAAAATATTTATATAAAATTATATAAATGTGGAGTCATCTTGGGTTATAGATTAACCCTGAGCAGGGTGAAGGGCCCTCATCTGATATAAAAAACTCCGGCCGTGATCGGAATCCGGCCTTGATTGACAGAGGGGAGGTGTGACAGATCCATCTGTATAGACTAAGATTGCTGGTTCGTCTGTTTTGCCTCTTTCGTGGAATTACCTGTCCGTATGCCCCTATTCGTTTGTTTGACTTTTTTACCAAATGAACTTACCGAACGGACGGCCACCCAGAAGAGAAGTGTGCTGCTGGTTAACCTCTTAATCCCAATTAGAACGTTGTGGTTAACCGCAGACACCTCTTAATTATATTCGAATACAGGGTGGTCGTCGTTCATATGTCGACCACGAGGAGGCGGCCATTTTAAACCGTTACAGGAGGAAAGCCCCTCAAACAGACCTCCAACCATTTAGGAACAGACGGGGGAGGGGCTGGGAGCGGTCGCACCCTCCTCCACCCGGTCGGACACACGCGGTCCGCGGGCGGAGGCGACCGTGGCGAATCAGCAACGTGGGAAAGGAGATCCGGCCCCCGGGTGCTTGTCTCGAGCTCCCCTGCGACCGGAAAAAACACACACACGGGACCGCCGAAGATGAACTCTGCGGCCCCGGAGCTTGGGATCGAAGGAGGCAGATGCAGTCAGCCTCCTGAAGCCCCCGAGTGGCGCACACAGACACCGCCAGACAAAAGGACAAAGGCGGAACAAAAAATATAACAACGAGCATACACAAAGTTGGGAGACTGACAGGGGGGACAAGGCCAAAGGGATAGATGAGACAGGAAGACCCCAAAGACCCCCCAGAAATCCAAGCTAAATATTTATATAACAGTGATAGCCTGAAGTTACAAGTAAAAATAAAGTCCCACAGGGGTTTTAACAAAACTGCATGTGTAAGGAAAATTTACACATGGACCAAGGTAATACTGCATATAAAATGAATCCCACAAGGCCTAAATAAAAAATTCTGAAAAGCTATTCAATATATAAGCATAAAAATCCCACAAGGGAAAATAAAATACTGAATATCAAGAAAAAAATCCCACAAGGAACATAACAATATTGTATTATAAAAATAAAATCCTACAAGGATTCTAACAAAACTGCATTATAAAAATAAAATCCCACATGGATTATAACAATACTGCATTATAAAAATACAATCCCACATGGATTATAACATACTGCATTATAAAAATAAAATCCCACATGGATTATAACAATATTGCATTATAAAAATAAAATCCCACATGGATTATAACATACTGCATTATAAAAATACAATCCCACATGGATTATAACAATACTGCATTATAAAAATAAAATCCCACAAGGATTATAACAATACTGCATTATAAAAATAAAATCCCACGTGGATTATAACAATACTGCATTATAAAAATAAAATCCCACAAGGATTATAACAATACTGCATTATAAAAATAAAATCCCACATGGATTCTAACAATACTGCATTATAAAAATAAAATCCCACATGGATTCTAACATTACTGCATTATAAAAATAAAATCCCACGTGGATTATAACAATACTGTATTATAAGAATAAAATCCCACATGGATTATAACAATACTGCATTTATAAGGCTAAAATACTGAATATAAGCAATAAAACCCCAAACCCCCCCCACTATAAGCAGGAGGCAGTGGTACTCTGACCTGTACTGACTGCGGAGCAGCAAAGAAAGAGGCAATGCTGTATGGGGAGGGGAGTTTTATAGTAACTAACTTTTTTCTGATTGGTTGTTTTTCTGTGCTGCTGTGGAGTTCTAGTAAAGAGAGACTTAAGCAAATACGAAGCCTCCCATCATGTTATAAAATTGGGGTCAAAAATCCCACTTATAAGACAGCTCTTTGGGATCCATACTTGTATAAGGGGTCCTCCCTTGGAGGGAGCCCTCTGGGGACTCTGTTTCCTCTGTTAGGTTACCTGAGCAGTAGCTTTGTGTTGTCTTCCCCTGAGAGGTGGTTGGTTTAGACCGCTGGGGCCTTTTGTTCTTTTCAGCCACAGGTTCCACATTTCAAGCGCTGGAACGCAGTATGCGTTCCAACAGGCCGGAAGTGACGTTTGCGGCTACCCCCGACTGACCGGAAATGACGCGGGTATGACGCGAACGGTTTGGAACACATGGTGTGCATTCCAGCGGTCGGCGCATGCTTGGAACCAGCGTTTCCTTGGCTCTTTTTAAATTCAGTGTGGGCTGGGGTTCGCTGTGTGCCTGCTAGAGCATCTGATAGTGTCCTCGGCACACTACTTCAATCACCTTATTTGAGAGCATTGAAGCTGGTGATCTCCTGTTCATCTGGCTGCTTGGTTTTGTATTCCTTGCCTGAAGGTATGCTTTTATTATTCTTACAGTTTTTTTCTTTGCCTTTCGGTGTTTGCCTATGCATTTGATAGATTATGGTTTTTAGTCTTTTATATAAAGTGTCTTAACATTTTGGTAAATATAGTCACAATGAAATGAGCATAAAAAATAACTTTTATTTAATACCCCAACTAGTTTATAGGACATATTATTTTGTAGCCTTGTGCTTTTTGTTTTACTTTTATCTTTTCTATTTTACATTTTAATATATCCATTAAAAGTTATTTTTTATGCTCATTTCATTGTGACTATATTTGCCAAAATGTTGAGACACTTTATGGTAGTTTTTTTCTTTTCTTTTTTGTATTCATATAAATTCACCATTTAGGGGTTACCCCCCATTTTGTTTCTACCCATATTCGTGCCTCATATTTGTATCTAGGCTCTCCTTTTTTCTTTTTTAGTTATTAGTCTTTTACATACTCTATTGATCTTACATAATAGTATGGATTCTCCCTCTGCCTCTGCAAGATCCCTCTCTAGAAACATAGGTGAGCCAATTACTTTTTCTTGTTGGGGGTGTTAAAAAGAGTGCCAGAATAAGCCTGTAATATTTGTTCATATATGGCTTTTATTTCAGACCCAGCAAACATTGGATTTCCCTCCAAGAAAAGCAAGGGATAAAACCAAAAGATGTTTGAATTGTTTGTCCTCTGCACCTCAGGGAAAGAACCTTTGCAGAGAGTGCTTATTGGAAATAGATGAAATAGATGAACCTACGCTCCTCATTGACTCCATGGCTTACCTTAGAGAACAGATGGTAAAGCGTAAGGATGGGGATCTCATAAAATCCTATTTAGACCTGGGGTCTGCCCTCCATCCTGCGGTGGCCTTAACCACTCTCTCAAGGTCCTTCAGAGTGTGGATTGCTAATCTAGAGGAGGATATTGACCGAGGAGTCCGCAGAGAACATCTTCTGGAATCTCTCAAGGACTTCAGCCTGGCTACGGTGTTCTGCTCGGAAGCCTCTTTAGATATCACTTGTATGATTGTAAAAGTTATGGCCTTATCTGTGGCCTCTAGAAGGGCCTTGTTGCTTCATTTGTGGGGACCCGACTATGCCTCCAAGGCATCGTTGTGTGGCTTTCCATTTCTGGGGGATTTTTTGTTTGGTACAACCCTGGATGAAGCCATACAAAAGGCTGCAGATGGCAAAAAAGCCTTTTTGCTGCAAGAAAGAAAGAAGCCTTTTTCCTCTTCCTGGAAGAAAAAAACAAACAAACAAAAAAAAGTTTCAAGGATTGGTTCTTTTCGGGATAGCAGAAGCTATAAACCAGGAAGGGAATATTCGAGAAATTCCTCTTGGAGAAGCTTCTCCCAGTCTTCGGTGAATAAAGCCTCCAGAGGGAGAGTTTCTAGTACATCTGGGAAGAACTTCTGAAGGTCTTCAGGCCCTTTCAGGGATTGTGGGGGAAGACTAAGGTTCTTTCACCCTGTTTGGGCCGCAAATATCACAGACATCTGGGTCAGTTCTCTCTTAAAAGAAGGTTACAGGATAAAGTTCTCCTCTTACCCAAGACCAATTCTCTTCAGGAAGTCAAGGATATTGTCAGGCACCAAACAAAGAGCCATGAGGAAATGCATCTCTACTCTTCAGGAAAAAGGGTTAATAGAAGAAGTTCCAAAGACAGAGAGGTTCAAAGGCATTTACTCCACAATGTTTTTTTGGGAACAAGGACTAGTGGAATACGAATGGAGAGTGATTATGCGAAGCTTAAAAGAGCCACGCTAAAAGATCTCCTAGAAGCGAAAGGTATTGCAGCAAGCAACAAAAGGAAAGCAACCCTCATTGCAGAGGTGATGGCAGAATACCAGATTGAGGACAGGGCGATCCCTGAGCAGTGGAGTTCAGCAGATGGATCTGAGCAAGAGGAGTTCCAGAGACAGCTGCAGTTTAGGCTGTCCTTTTATGGAGAGAATCCAACGGCGGATATTATATCCAGGACAATGACAGAGGTGCAGGAGTTTATACTGCGCCAAAGGCCACTACAAAATCTGGAGAGGAATGCTACCACCGCTACCATCACACAGGGTAAGGCAAAAATACCTTACCAAGCATTTAAAAACATATGTAGAAGCAGATGAGGACATAGATGCTTTTCTCCAAGATTTTGAGAGACTGTGTGCACTGCATAATATTAGTCCAGAGGAATGGGTACCTATTTTAGCAGGGAAGCTCACTGGAAAGGCTGCTGAAGCATATAGAACTGTACCAGATGAGGAAATTCGGAATTACCACAGGGTAAAAGAGGTGATCCTGGCACGGTATGCAATCACGCCCGAGGCATATCGGCGGCGATTTAGAGAGTTAAAAAGAAATGACAAGGACTATCATGTGGAATGGGTCTGCAAGTTACATCGTAGCCGCCCTGGGGTGGGTACAGTTCAATAAAGCTCGGTCCATGGAGGACTTGTTACAAATGTTGCTATTGGAGCAATTCTATGAGGGCATCCAGAATGATATACAGGAATGGGTGTGAGACCGCAACCCGAAGTCCCTCACAGAAGCAGCTAAAAAGGCGGATGAGTACCTGGATGCCCGCAGACAGCAAAAACCAGCCCCCATCAAGACAGTTATCCGACCCCTAGGGGGGAACAGCCCATACCCCAACACCGCACCGCCACCACGACAACTACCTCCTTATCCACCCGCTAGTGTACAACAGAAACCTCGACCAACTAGCTCTGTACAGTGCCACCATTGCCAACGCTGGGGACATTATAAGAGGGAATGCCCGCAGCTAAAAGATCGCTCCACCTGGATCAGGCCCGGACTACCCCCACCACCTCGACAGGCAGCCCACTACTACCAAGCAGAGGCAACAAGTCCCTATGGCACCGCAATTCCCATAAACACAATGGAACAATGGGAAGTATTGCATGAAGCGGATCCTGTGCAGGCTAATGCTGACAACCGCCAGCATCATAGACAGACTGTGTACTTGGAGGGGAAAGCAGTCCAGGGGCTCTGCGATTCAGGAGCCACCATCACACTGGTTAAAAGTCACCTGGTACCTGACCAGGCCAAGACCAGCAGAACAGTAGCAGTCAGGGTACCCGGGGGAGCAGTATACCGGCTACCCACAGCTCGGGTACATTTACATTGGGGAGTGGGGTTTGGGAATGTGGAGGTGGGGTTGATGTCCCAGCTGCCAGCTGAGGTTTTGTTGGGGAACGATCTGGGCAAGCTGATGTCTGCCTTTGAACCCCAGACCCCAACGACCGGAGAGGCACAACCAGTGGTTACACGACAACAGGCCCGCACCCAGGACTACAACACACTCCTGGAGGTCCAGGTAAGAGATCCTTCCCCTACCTTAGAATGTACCCCTTGGGCTCCCCCTACTGAATTTGCGGCTGAGGTAGCCACCGACCCCACCTTACAGGTCTATGGAGACAAAGTCACCTCAGACCAGCCGGGAGGGCAGGGTGAAAGATTTGTATGGGATAACCAGTTGCTATACAGGGAGTTTGACAAGCAGGTAGCTGGGTCAGACCCTATTGTAATGAGGCAGCTAGTGGTCCCCCAACGGTATCACGCAGAGTTACTCCGGATAGCGCACGATATTCCGCTATCCGGACATTTAGGAGTCAGTCGCACCCGGCACCAACTGACCCAGAGTTTCTTTTGGCCGGGAGTTAGTCAGGAAGTCCGCAGGTACTGCAACACGTGTGACACGTGCCAAAGGGTAGGGAAGAGAGGGGACCGGCGGAAGGCAAAATTACACCCGCTACCCATAATAGAGGAACCGTTCAGCAGAGTAGCAGTAGATATAATAGGACCCCTGAAAAAACCCAGCCCCTCTGGAAAAAGGTATATCTTAACTGTAGTGGATTATGCCACCCGATATCCAGAGGCGATTGGCCTGACTAACATACACGCAGAAACCGTGGCTGAGGCCCTGATGCGGATTTTCATTCGGATGGGGTTACCGAGAGAGATAATCTCGGATCAGGGGACCCAGTTCACTGCGGAAGTCACCCAGAGCCTCTGGAAATTTTGTGACATCAAATCGATTATTAGCGCCGCATACCACCCCCAGACCAATGGGCTATGCGAAAGGTTCAATGGGACCTTGAAGCAAATGCTGCGCACTTTTGCCGACACCCATAGGGACTGGGAATGGTTTTTGCCGCATCTCCTGTTTGTCTACAGGGAGGTGCCGCAGGAATCGACAGGTTTCTCCCCATTTGAGTTACTATTTGGGCAGAGAGTAAGGGGACCCCTGGATCTTATCCGGGAACACTGGGAGGGAGACCGGAGTACCGACGGTACCCCTGTCATACCATATGTACTGGCGTTTCGAGAGCGTTTGGAAGTGTTGACCAAGTCAGTCCGAGATGCGCTAACGCACATGGTATGATAGGGGAGCCAGGGACCGCAGCTTCCAGGTTGGGTAGAAAGTTCTAGTTTTGAAAACAGTCCAACATGACAAGCTGCAGGCCTCCTGGCAGGGCCCATATAAAGTGATGGAGCAGAGATGCGACACCACGTATATAATTGGCGCCTGTACAGGGACTGGGGGGTGACGCATGATCCACGTGAACATGCTGAAGCCCTACCAGGAACGTTCAGAGGAGGTAACCGCGATTTGCGCCCCCTCCAATGAAGAGTTCGACAGCCTGCCTCTCCCAGATCTCCTGGGGGACGGCAGACTGTCCAGGGATTTGGGGGAAGTTAACAGTTGTTATGGGAGAAACAGGACACATTCTCCAATATACCTGGGTACACTCCTTTGGCCACTCACCGGGTAGAGACCCCAGGACAGCTCCCCATGCGCCAAACCCCGTATCGCATCCCTGAAGCGGTGAAGGAAAACATGCGTAAAGAGATTGAGGATATGTTCCACCCAGGGGTGATTGAACCGTCAGCCCCTGGGCCTCCCCTGTAGTCCTCGTACCCAAGCGAGATGGCACAACTCGCTTCTGCGTGGATTACAGGAGGTTAAACGAAAAGACGGTATCCGATGCATACCCTATGCCCCGGATAGAGGAATTACTGGACAGGACGGCTAGAGGTCACTACCTCACGACCATTGATCTATGTAAGGGGTATTGGCAGATTCCCCTGGTGCCCGAGGCCATTCCTAAATCCGCTTTTGTCACCCCATTCGGTTTATACCAATTTAAGGTAATGCCGTTTGGGATGAAAAACGCACCCGCTACCTTCCAGAGGATGGTAGACCGACTCCTGGATGGATTTCAGGATTACACTTGTGCTTATTTAGATGACATAGCCATCTTTAGCAACACTTGGGAGGAACATTTGGCCCATATAGGGGCGGTGTTAGATAGGATCCGAGAAGCCGGATTAATCCTGAAGTCAGCTAAATGCAGTATAGGGATGGCAGAGGTACAGTACCTCGGACACAGAGTGGGGTGTGGGAAGCAGAAACCTGAACCTGCTAAGGTAGAGGCAGTAGCCCACTCCCAGGACAAAAACCCAGGTCCTTGCTTTTCTAGGGACTGCCGGATACTACCGCAAGCTTGTCCCCAACTATAGTGCCCTGGCCAAACCCCTTACTGACCTTACCCATAAAAACCTACCCCGCCAAGTAACCTGGACCCCGGAGTGTGAGAAGGCGTTCAACCTGTTGAAAGATGCACTTTTTAATGCCCCTGTCTTGGCAGCTCCTGATCCAACTAAGCGTTTTCTTGTTCACACAGACGCTTCTATGTTTGGATTGGGAGCAGTATTAAGCCAAGTCGGGGCTGATGGCGGAGAACACCCCGTAGCCTACATCAGTCGGAAACTATTGCCAAGAGAAGTGAGCTACGCCGCCATCGAAAAAAGAATGCCTGGCTGTGGTGTGGGCCCTGAAGAAAATGCAGCCATATTTGTATGGACAGCCCTTTTCCTTGCTCACGGCTCACAACCCGTTGGTCTGGCTAAACCGTGTGGCTGGGGACAATTCCAGGCTGCTGCGCTGGAGTTTGGCGCTGCAGCCTTTTGACTTTAACATTCAGTACTGCCCGGGCAAACAGAATGGGAACGCTGACGGGTTGTCAAGACAAACCGACCTAGAGAAATGATCTGTGAGCCTCCCCGGACATCCCCAAGCCGATCTGTGTTGGATCAGACTGTGTATGCTGGCTTGTGGGCAAGGGGGAGCAGTGTAGCGGATGGCACTGGGCTGTCCTGAGAATTACATATGTTTTGAATGCATTCGTGTAAATGGCAAAGTTATGTGTGTTAAATGTATGTATTTGTCTGATTGTTCGGTAGTTTCATTCCCTTAGTTTGTTCGAATGAAACTACCGAACAGTCAGACCTCCCCTGTGTGAAGTCTGCCTTTAATTACCTGTTGCAACATTGTTGCGAACGGGTAATTGACAAGCTGCATAGCAGTCCTTTGTTCTCGGGGGTGGCCGCCATTCGGGAAACGAACACGTGGCGGTGGCCATTTTAAAACTCCCGAACAGCGGTGTTTTGGCATCGAGTGTCTGGAACTCAAATCGGACACTCAACTAGGCGAACACCGCTGAGACCTCCACAAGCCCGGTCCGTTCGGTTCCAAACTACCGAACGGCTCCTCATTCGGGAGATAGAAACAACCGAACGAGGGGATTCAGGCGAACCCTCCCTAGTCTCTGTAGCTGGAGGCTTTTGTGCAGTTTGTTCCCTTACTCCAGGACCGACCGCAGGGCCCCATCGCATGGAACCCCATTCGGCTCTTCTTTCCAGTGCGGTCGGTCATTTTATTCCCTCCATAAGTTTCCCGAACCCCTGGTCTGATCTGGGTGATTTTTGGATATGTTGTTCACCCAGATCAGGGCTACCAAGGGATGTATAATTTAAAGTGGTACCCCTAGGTTTAGGGGTACATCCAGAAACGGGGGGAATTGGTGTCCTGGATTATGATGCAGGCTGAGGAGAGGAGATGTGTGAGGTTACCAGAGCAGGATTGGCTACTGAACAAATTAATGGAAATCCCTCCCTTGCATGGGAGCAGGCTTTATAAGGCCACTGTCTGAATAAATCTTTAGTTCTGCTCCTGATACTGTGTGTCGTCCAGTTATTGGGATTGCTGTTGGGATATTGCTGTGTTATTTTGCCTGCTGGATACTTTAACCTATGGATTTATAATTGCTTGTTCCTGAACCTCCCTGGGATCTAAAGTGGAGATAGGCTGTGTAATACCAGCTCTCCGCTATATCCCGGTCTGGCCAAGAGGCAATAGTTTCCTCTCTTAATGAAGTTGAGTCAGGAACGAGCTCTGCTTCTCCCAATAATGAAGGATCTGCTGAGTTAAGGTCCAATCTCCCATCTTCATCCAGAACACCTCAAACCAGGGGTATGGGTCTTGAAAAGGGAAGACTACGTCACTTAGGCCTCTCTGAAGCAGTGGTTAATACCCTTTTGCAGTCTAGGAAAGGTTCTACTTCCTCGTGCTACCATAGAATCTGTGATATATTCAGACAATTGGCATCAACCAGGAGCATTGACTTCTTGCAACCTCGTAATACTCAGATCCTGGATTTCCTTCAGGAAGGTCTGGACAAAGGCCTTAGCCTCAGCACTCTTAGAGTTCAGTCCTCGGCTCTTTCAGCATTATGCAATTTCTCATGGGCTTCGGATCCTTTGATCTCAAGATTCTTCAAGGCAGCTTGAGACCTCCTTCCAGATCCGGTACACCTCCTTGGGACCTTCCTCTTGTTCTCAACTACCTGACTGATCATCTGTTTGTTCCCCTTGAAATTTTGGATACTACCCTTCTGACTTACAAGACTGTTTTTAGTGGCTATTTTGGTGCTGTGTGTAGCTGCTCCTGTGTGTGATTGTTCTACATTCAGAGTGTGCTGTGTGTAACTGCTCTTGTGTGTGAGTGTGCTGTGTAGTTGCCCCTGTGTGTGATTGCTCTACATTCAGAGTGTGCTGTGTGTAACTGCTCTTGTGTGTGATTGCTCTACATTCAGAGTGTGCTGTGTGTAACTGCTCCTGTGTGTGATTGCTCTACATTCAGAGTGTGCTGTGTGTAGCTGCTACTGTGTGTGATTGTTCTACATTCAGAGTGTGCTGTGTGTAACTGCTCTTGTGTGTGATTGCTCTACATTCAGAGTGTGCTGTGTGTAACTGCTCCTGTGTGTGATTGCTCTACATTCAGTGTGTGCTGTGTGTAACTGCTCTTCTGTGTGAGTGTGCTGTGTAGATGCTCCTGTGTGTGATTGTTCTACATTCAAAGTGTGCCTTGTGTAACTGCTCTTGTGTGTGATTGCTCTACATTTAGAGTGTGCTGCGTGTAACTGCTCCTGTGTGTGAGTGTGCTGTGTAGCTGCCCCTGTGTGTGATTGTTCTACATTCAGAGTGTGCTGTGTGTAACTGCTCTTGTGTGTGATTGCTCTACATTCAGAGTGTGCTGTGTGTAACTGCTCCTGTGTGTGATTGCTCTACATTCAGAGTGTGCTGTGTGTAGCTGCTCTTGTGTGTGAGTGTGCTGTGTAGCTGCCCGTGTGTGATTGTTCTACATTCAGAGTGTGCTGTGTGTAGCTGCTCCTGTGTGTGATTGTTCTACATTCAGAGTGTGCTGTGTGTAACTGCTCTTGTGTGTGATTGCTCTACATTCAGAGTGTGCTGTGTGTAGCTGCTCCTGTGTGTGATTGTTCTACATTCAGAGTGTGCTGTGTGTAGCTGCTCCTGTGTGTGATTGTTCTGCATTCAGAGTGTGCTGTGTGTGACTGCTCTACATTCAGAGTGTGCTGTGTGTAACTGCTCCTGTGTGTGATTGTTCTACATTAAGAGTGTGCTGTGTGTAACTGCTCTTGTGTGTGATTGCTCTACATTTAGAGTGTGCTGTGTGTAACTGCTCCTGTGTGTGTTTGCTCTACATTCAGAGTGTGCTGTGTGTAGCTGCTCATGTGTGTGATTGTTCTACATTCAGAGTGTTCTGTGTGTAACTGCTCCTGTGTGTGATTGCTCTGCCTTACCATTGTACTGTGTGTAAATTCACCGCATTAAGACTGTGGTGTCAGTAATTTCTTTATATTCAGAGTACACATTCTGACTGTTGTACTTTCAGAGTGTGCTGTGCAACCGCTCCTGTGTGTGATTGCTCTACATTCAGAGTGTGCTGTGTAACTGCTCCTGTGTGTGATTGCTCTACATTCAGAGTGTACTGTATGTAGCTGCCCCTGTGTGTGATTGCTCTACATTCAGAGTGTGCTGTGCAACTGCGCCTGTGTGTGATTGCTCTACATTCAGAGTGTGCTGTGTGTAGCTGCTCCTGTGTGTGATTGTTCTGCATTCAGAGTGTGCTGTGTGTAACTGCTCCTGTGAGTGATTGCCCTGCATCCAGAGTGTGTTGTGTGTAGCTGCTTCTGGGTGTGATTGCTCTACATTCAGAGTGTGCTGTGTGTAGCTGCTCCTGTGTGTGATTGCTCTACATTCAGAGTGTGCTGTGTAGCTGTCCCTGTGTCTGATTGCTCTACATTCAGAGTGTGATGTGTGTAACTGCTCTTGTGTGTGATTGCTCTACATTCAGAGTGTGCTGTGTGTAGCTGCTCCTGTGTGTGATTGTTCTGCATTCAATTTCAAGTCACTGTAGCGGAGTAGTGGTATTATCCACGGTATCTCCGCTGGTAGACAGGATAAAGCAGGTAAAATGTAGGTAAAATGCAGGTAGCGTAGTTACAATCCTTTTCTCCCAAGAACTAGACGACACATAGCTTGGAGGTTAAAACACTGGCATCTCACCAGGTTGAGTCAAACTCTTTAAAGGACCACTCTAGGCACCCAGACCACTTCAGCTTAATGAAGTGGTCTGGGTGCCAGGTCCTTCTAGGGTTAACCCATTTTTTCATAAACATAGCAGTTTCATAGAAACTGCTATGTTTATGAATGGGTTAAGCCTTCCCCTATTTCCTCTAGTGGCTGTCTCATTGACAGCAACTAGAGGCGCTTGCGTGCTTCTCACTGTGATTTTCACAGTGAGAGCACACCAGCGTCCATAGGAAAGCATTATGAAAGCTTTCCTATGTGATCGGCTGAATGCGCGTGCAGCTTCTGCCGCGCGTGCGCATTCAGCCGACGGGGCGGAACGGAGGAGGAGAGCTCCCCGCCCAGCGCTGGAAAAAGGTAAGTTTTAACCCCTTTCCCCTTTCCAGAGCCGGGCGGGAGGGGGTCCCTGAGGGTGGGGGCACACTCAGGGCACTATAGTGCCAGGAAAACGAGTATGTTTTCCTGGCACTATAGTGGTCCTTTAATGATTACAGTTTCCTTTAAACACAGCCTCCGCAGGGGGGGTCTGCATTCCACACAGGCATTCCACACAGGGGTCTGCATTAGTCCCAGGCAGGAGGGGGTCGGTTACAGATAGCCATCTCCTGCCTTAGGAGATACCAAGCAGTACACAGGAATACACTTTACATCATATTACATTCGGGGGGTTACACTTTAAGTGGCTGGTTTGGCCACAGATAGGAATAGCAATGCAGTAATAGCAAGAGATATACAAGGACATTCTGTAAGTGGCTAGGTTTGCCACATGCACAATATGGAAACCTTCTACCCCAGTCACCCAGTCACCCATCAGAGCAGTTCTCTCACACAAACAGCGTTATTTACTAAGGTGAATTTAAAGCCAAAATAACCAAACTAAAAAGATGTGACTTGGAAAATTTTCTGATTTAGCTATTTTTCTGGGGTAATAGCTGCTTGATCCAAGGAGACTTGGAAAAGGAGAAAAAATCAGCGCTAAATTGCCACAATAAAATGATTATTAGGAAAGGCAGCACTCCTCAAAGGGGAGTCCCCAATAATCCCCTAATGATAACAGATAGTGTGATTGTTCTACAAGGAGACATCTGACTGCTATTTTGGGGGTCAAGAAGGAATTTTTTCCTAGTTTGTTGCAAAATTGGAAGCGCTTCAGACTAGGTTTTTTGCCTTCTTTTGGATCAACGGGAAAAATATATGTGAGGAAGGCTGAACTTGATGGACACAAGTCTCTTTTCAGCTATGTAACTATGTAACTATTTTTGAATTCCCAGCAATTCTCACCTTAGTAAATATCCCTGACCAGTTGAGGGTCTCCAATATGTATTTATAGTTTTTATTTTATATTAGTTTGTTGCCTTCCCCCTCCATCCCCCATTCAGTGGGCGACAGAGCAATTGTCAGAAAAAACCATGACAGGCACGCAGCAGCTGTTTCCATCGTGTTCCCATGGCCTGCTAATCATCCCCCAAAAAGAGGCAAAAAGAGTACAATTGGCAGAAAACAGCAAAAAAAGGCACCGGCTATAGATAATGAACTTTAATTCTCCAATGGGTGTCTGATTTGGTTAAGCTTAATGGGATTTGTAGTCGACAACAGTGTTTGTGTTGCTGTTAAACCTCTAGTGTCATGTAATGGAAGGTGACATTGTAGTTTAAACAACACAACACTGTCGTTGACCCTTTGTCTGTTAACATCACCTGCGTTCTGCTGTTAATTGGTGTAAGGGTGTGAGCTGTCCCCATCCAATGGCTTTGCTGGAGGATTCAAAATAACAAACTGCAGCAGGTCAAGGTTCCCGTCTGTTTTGAAAGCTCAGGGGGAAGAGTTTCGCTGTTGTTTTATCAGTGTGTTACATTACACAGACGTTTCTTATCTAGAAATTATTTACAACAATTACCTGCAGTAACAAGTTTTCAAGAAACATGTTATGTGACCATTTATCCATGTAAATCTAACATTAGTACCAAAACATTTCAGTTTGCTGGAGCGGATATGGAGTCACTTGTATTTTTATTACTGATTGTATTTTCAATACCTTTTACAAAGGTACATTGCTTTATAATCATGGGTGCAATCCTCTAAATTCAATGGGATACACTAAGTTACATAGAAATATTATTAGTAATTACTAACTGATACTAAACAGTTTTCTACTGCCTATTAAAAATATATATTTGAAGGGGAAAAACTAATCCTAATGCACGTCGGCTTGCTGAAGTGCTTTATGTGTGAAGAGTTTGTCTCTTTTTTCCATTTTACAAAAAGTTCAAATTTCAAAATAGATTGTCACTTTTATAAATTAAAGGGACACTATAGTCACCCAGACCACTTCAGCTCAATGGTCCCCCAGGTTTTAACCCTTCAGATGTAAACATAACAGTTTAAGAGAAACTGCTATGTTTACATAGCAGGGTTAATCCAACCTCTAGTGGCTGCCTTCCTGACAGCTGCTAGAGGCGCATCTGCGACGCTGGATGCGAAATTCGCATACAGCGTGCAGAACGTCAATAGGAAAGCATTGAGAAATGCTTTCCTATGGACTGTTTGAATGCGCGCATGGCTCTTGCTCCACTCGGGAGGTGACGTCAGCGGGGGAGGAGAAGTCACCAGCGCCGAAGGAGCCCAACACTGGATAAAGGTAAGTGGCTGAAGGGGTTAGTGTCAGGAAAACGAGTTTGTTTTCTTGACACTATAGTGATCCTTTAACCTTGTTACACCCTCCTGGCTGTCAATCAGACAATAGGTCCTGTTACTCCCTGGTTTGGTTAGCTCAGTGAAGCTTAACTTAAGAGGCAGCAATTGCCCAGAGCCAGTGGCGTACACACAACCCATGAGTCCCCAGTGCGAAACTGATCCGTGGGCCCACCCTCTCCCCCTCGCTTACTCTGCGCGGTCCAGGGCCGCAACACATGGCGGCGGGCACCTTGTCGCAGGACTGCGACCCCTGCAACCGCGGTATGTACGCCAATGCATGCAGATACACATACACTTAAAGGACCATTACAGACACCCAGACCACTTCAGCTCAATGAAGTGGTCTGGGTGCCAGGTCCCTCTAGTTTTAACCCTGTAGCTGAAAACATAGCAGTTTCAGAGAAACTGTTATATTTCACTGAGGGTTAATCCAGCCTCTAGTGGCTGTCTCATTGACAGCCGCTAGAGGAGCTTCCGCAATTCTCACTGTGAAAATCACAGTGAGAAGATGCTGAACGTCCATAGGAAAGCATTGAGTAATGCGCATTCGGAGCTGAGAGGCGGATCGGGGGGGAGGGATCCCCAGCGCCAAGGGAGTCCGACGCTGTAGAAAAGTAAGTGCTGAAGACACACATACACTCTCACGAACAGATGCATACACACTAGCTCACAGACACACACATATACTGACAGACACACACTCAGTGACAGACATACATACACACTCACTGACAGACAGACACATACACACTCACTTACAAAACACACACTCACTAACAGACACCAAACAGACTCACTAACAGACACACACAAACTAACACACTCAGTAACACACACACAGTAACACACTCACTGACATACACAAACTAACACACACACTGACACAAAAACTAACACTAACACACACACACACACACTCTAACACTAACACACACACTCTAACACTAACACACACACACACTCTAACACTAACACACACACACACACACACACTTTTAAAAAAAAAAATGTAATCCCCCAGCCTCCCTACCTTTGGGAGTGCTGAGGGGATTCCCTGGGGTCCAGTAGTGTTGCTGGGCAGCCGGTCACCGGGCAGGCTGGCGGGCGCGCGAGGGAGCACTCTCCCCTAAATGCTCCCTGTTCAGCTCCCTCGCGCGCTGCGCACTGATGCCAGAGGCGGAATATGACGTCATATTCTGGCTCCGGCATCAGTGCGGTGCGCGAGGGAGCTGGGCAAAGAGCGCTCAGGGGAGAGTGCTTCCTCGCGCGCCAGCCAGCCCTTCCGCCGGGTGACACCAGGGCCAGCCTTGGGGGGCCCTGAGGTGGCCGGCTCCTGGGCCCCCCAGGAGAAGAGGCTGGCCACACAGGGTACATACCGGGTCGCAGGGCTGCCGGGCCCCCTGGTGGGCCGGGCCCGGTCGCAGCCGCGACCCCTGCGACCCTGGTATGTACGCCACTGCCCAAAGCACCTGCCTTGTAAAGACTTCTCATTGAGCTGCATCGGGAAGTCTGTGATTGAAAAGACACAGAAAGTTTGGGCGGGGTTACAAGGGGAGGGTATTGCAATGGGTACATACAAAATATCTGCAGTTTTTGCAGGCTGATTCTAGATATACCCCCAAAGCAAAAAAATGCATAATTAAATGCATGCATATTTTCATTTGTGGTATATCTACTAAATTGTGATTTGTATTTATTTATATTTGTATTTGGGCAGTATAGTGTCACTGTAAGTGAATAATCTTGTTTACCCCACGCTCTGTCAGATCTACACCTTTACACCCTGCATACCAATATCACTCAGGGCTCCATAATAATACATTTTATAAGACATTTTGATGTAAACTATAACCTGGCTCAGTCATCTGAATACGTTAAGGTCCATTAAACACCAAGGTCAGAGATTGTCAGATGCAAGGTGAATACAGTGAAAATATGCATTTTCTGGGTCGGTGCAACCGCTTCGTGGGGCAGTGTGAAGGTGCTTTTTGGGGACATCATACATTGATGTGATGTAAAAGTTCATCGGGCTGTAAATCAGCAGACAGCATACTGTTCAGTAGTTCACTGTTAATTGATGAAACCACTAATGCTAATTGTTTGCAATCAGCGCCTACATGGTCACTAAGATTCCCTATGGAGGGCTGAGACGCCCTTTTTTGGAATGCATGGGGCAGATGTTAAATTAACAGGACCATCAGCGGGAATGACTGCTGTATGCAGTGTCTGTTTACGTTCCAGGACTATTTATAGCGCTCAGTACGTGTTTCTTCGTATGTGACAGCCCCATCCCCTGTAAACCCAAAACTTAATAACATATCCAGGCCAATTAAAACAGATCTGCGCCTTAATGTAACACTCCATCGCATACCGCCCAACATTTCAAATTGACAAAGAGAAAAACTTTCATTTTAGGGGTGTGAGCGGTGGTGTGATTAGAGCCGGGACTGTTCTGAGAGATTTCAGGTGACTTACTGACGATTTATACAACTAAAATGTAATTTATAACAAGAAAAATATATCTCAATGTAACTTATTTACACAGACTCATTTCTAAACACATTTATTGTAGTTTAAAGGACCATTATAGTGCCAGGAAAACAAACTCATTTTAGGGTCATTAGGTCCCTTCCCGCTGGGCTGAAGGGGTTAAAACACTTACCTTTCTCCAGCACCAGGCTCCCTCGGTGCTGGTGACCTCTCCTCCCCCTGCCGACGTCACCTCCAAATGCGCATTGCCGCGCACATTCAAACCGACCATAGGAAGGCATTATCAAAGGCGTGCGCAGCCTATTGCATTAGGGTGTGCACCCTAAAGCACAAGCACACGCTGCGTATATGTATGTATATGTATATATATATATATATATATATATATATATAAATATATATGCACTGCTGTGTGTGTGTGCAGTGTGAGGGTGCTGGTAGTGTGCTATGTGGGTGTTTGTGTGTGTGTGTGCGCTTGAGCGGGATCCTTTCTGCCTTCCCTGGTGGTCCTAGTGGTGAGAGTGAACTCTAGCCTGCGGGGCTAGAGTTCACTCTCGCGAGATCTGAGTGTTGCCGCGATAACCGCGGCAACGCTCAGATCTCGCGAGAGGACCCTGGCGGAGCTGCTGGCAAGAGCTCCCCGGGTCCTCTCCTGCCTCCCTCCCTGCCTGTGGGTCGGTGGGGAGGGAGGCTGAGAGCAGAGCCGGCGCTCGGATAGCGCCGGCTCTGCATGAGCCAACAGGGGGGATCCTGAGATCTCCCCTGCCGGTCTCAATACTTAGGCGTGCCGCGGGGATTAGGGTGTGCCCAGCCACACCTGGCACACCCCGTGTGCACGCCTATGAGCATTATTTAATGCTTTCCTATGGACGTTCAGCGTCTTCTCACTGCGATTTTCACAGTGAGAATCGCAGAAGTGCCTCTAGCAGCTGTCAGTGAGACAGCCACTAGAGGCTTTATTAACCTCAGTGTAAACATAGCAGTTTCTATGAAACTGCTATGTTTTCAGCTGCAGAGTTAAAGCTAGAGGGACCTGGCACCCAGACCACTTCATTGAGCTGAAGTGGTCTGGGTGCCTATAGTGGTCCTTTAAGGTAATGCTGACTTTTTACACTGTGTAAATGCTTTTACTACTTCAGTCTTTCTAACTCTGTGACATGTCCCCTTCCTTCTGCACTCACCACATCCACCTTTTCTCTGTCCCAGACTGTATAACAGGAGCTTCTTCCTGCTGGTAAGACGATAAGTGAGTGCCAGGAAACAGTCCCCAGAAAGCGTATAGCGAGCGCATCATTTGACGCATTTACACCCGGGGCAGATACTTGGTTGGGCGCCCCTTTTATGCCCTTTCAAGTGTAGGAAGCCGATGCATGCTGGGTCAGTGAGATCCCAGCATGCACTTGATTGCCAGCTTTACCAGCAGTCACAGCAGCTTCTAAATAGCTTGTGTTGTGAGTATGGGAGGCTACTTGTGTTTATGGTGAGGTTGTGTTTCGATACCATAAAGGAGGAGAGTATATTTAAAAGAAGGAAAACTACCATAACAAGAGGACATAGTTTTAAATTAGAGGGACAAAGGTTTAAAAATAATATCAGAAAGTATTACTTTACTGAGAGAGTAGTGGATGCATGGAATAGCCTTCCAGCGGACGTGGTAGAGCTTAACAGAGTGAGAAACTTTAAGCATGTATGGGCTAGGCATAAAGCTATCCTAGAAATAAGAGACTAATGAAAGTATTTAGAAAATTTGGGGGGGCGGAGCCAGCAGCCGAACCGACAGGTCGCATCTGCAGAGAGCTCCTGGCAATATCGGCCTAAAAAGACCAATTAACCTCGAAAATATCACCCCCCAAAGCACATCAGCTGCCCACACACGAAGCAGTAATGGGCAGGAAGACTAAAAAACCCAAGCCCGATCTGCCCCGGCCGGGCGCCAGCATAGGAGACCTGTGGCGGCGGGCACATGGCGCACCAGAGCCTGACATGGCCGCCTACATAGAAGGCTTAGAAGACTCAGACGAACTGCTCTCTGACTCAGAAGAGCTCTGTTCACCCGCAAGGTGGCCACCGGAGAAGCCTAACACAAAGCCTGCCACGCAGCCTGACACAGCCCAGGTCACGAATGCTGAAATGAGGGAGCTGCTGGCGGAGCTCCACCAAAATATTCAGGAGGACGTAGCTGACATGCGGAGAGACATAAAGGGCCTTACGGACCGCGTGGACATCGTGGAGCAAAACTCCCACACGCATACCAGGCAAGTGACCTCCCTCCAGCAGGAGATGAAACTGCTGCAACAGCAGCACTTGAAGGTAGAAGGGGCTATGGCAGCAATGGAAGACTCATGACGTGCCCAGAACCTTAAGGTCAGGGGCATCGCAGAATCAGTTCCAGACTCTGAACTCCCCCACCTCATGCTGTGATGGAATTCCAGTAAAATACAAGATTGCCACAACGCATATGTAGATACATGTGTTTGTAGTATCAGTTAGTTACACGTAGCTAAGATACTGTCATCACTGTACTGAGCATGTGCAGGAATGCAGGAACTGGAATTACGCGTCCCTCTCCTTTGTTTCAGATGAGCCACGTGGTTAGACCGGATGGATGAGTTTAGACTCTATTCATTGATTAGGTTAAGGGTATGTGTGGGCGTAGCTAATTATGGGAGGAGCTACAGTGCTATATAAGGAATGTACTCTATGTATTCAGTGCTTAGATCTTTGCTGTTTTTGGTGACATAAGTCCCTCTGAGTCCCGGTCAGTGAATCGAATAAAGATCTCTTCCTTCCTGAAGAAACCTGTGTCCATCTCTCTGTGCTTGGCCTCCGTCAGTTTCCCGGTAACATCTTTGGTGCATTGGCCGGGAAGCTCGTCGTTAACGGTGGGTAGGAAGCAGAGGCGTGAGATGGTCTATCTTTGCCCACGTTCTCTACGGCTGCACCCCTGAACTTCTGCGTGGACCTCCCTTCGTCTCGGCGCCACTGGTCTGTTGTCCAGGAGATCCTCGGCCTCTACGTAGTAAGTGCTGGGGTGTCCCCATCGATGAGTGTGAACTCAGGTTCAGGAACGAGGAGGTAAGACGACTACTGTTTTAGACGGTGGACCCACTAGGGGTATTGGATACCGATTGTGCGGTAGGCCCATAAGGGGTTTGAATTGGAATTGTGTATGGAATTGGCCCCCTCCAGGGAGGGAAGGAGCGAAGGCGCACCGCTCATAATTAGACGCCCTGTAGTCAGCCCGTCTAATCTTGGTATGGAGTCAGGCTGGGTCTTGGTTGAATGTATATAGCCCAGGCCGGACACCGGTGTCTTGTCTAGACTAGCGTATCTAGGGTGTACATTTCGTTCGCTAGGTCGGAGGGACCGGGAGACTAAGCAGACTCTGGTGTACATTATGTTTGCTAGTTCTCAACCTATCTTGGCTAAGTGGGAAGGCGTGTAAATTTGGAACCCACTAGACTATTGATAGAGTAGATAGACTAAAAGGGTATTGTTGTAAATTCCGCCCTCTAGTTCGCTATATGTGGTGCTTGGGCAGCGACGGCTAACCAAAATGGATGTAAATAGTTTTAGGTAGTCCCTCGAGGTACTGTCCAATAGATTAGTTGGGAAACTGTAAATGTGTTAAAATTTATTATAGTAGAGTGTATATCTTGCTGGGTAGCGTGAGCTCTGCCGTCTAGCGAGAGTGTGATAAGTGTTCCCCTTGCATCTGATTACCAACCCCCCTATTCATCCTCCAGAGCCAGAGTAGCCTAAAACTGGTATAGCTGGTATTTGCACTCCCCCTGCTCTATTGTCCACGCCTACCCACATACCTATCTGTTCTTTTCTTTCAAACTCTTGTATTTCTGTACAAACTGTTTTTTTGTCATTTAAATTGACTTCCTTTTTGGTAGGAGTGTATTTTAGCATTGTATTTTATTTACAGTTAAATTGTGAGGAGAATTCTTAATATAACAGACAGAAGTAGGATTGTTTATCCTATTTTAATATATTTATTGCTATAAGGTTTTATTTTATGTATAAATATATTAAAAGTTAAGTTTTATTATTAGACCCATAAAGATTATTTTGATACAATTACCCTCTGGTGACACCTACTGGTAGGTTTTTGGTTTAACACTTAAAAAAAAAAAAAAATGTTTCATCCACCAAATGCTGACTAGTAAAATTAGCTCACCCCCTTCCACCTATCTTACTACTCTCAGACTGAGCAGCCTTGCCGAAGCCCTGTATTAACCCGACAGATGACTGGTACCCTCCAACCCTGACATTACCAAATGCCTCTCCGACTTACACTGGGCCCAACACACGTTGACAATAATGGTCAATTGCAACATGCAGACCCTGTATTTGTTTATGTTCCCTTTACCACTACGGATTTGTTCAACTGGAAAACCCATAACTCCTCTTACACAGACAAACCTCAAGCCATGACAGATTTGATTACCTCCATAATCCAAACGCACAATCCCACTTGGGCTGATTGCCAGCAATTGCTTATGACATTGTTTAATAACGAGGAAAGGACTCGGATTAATCAGGCGGCAATTAAAGCGCTTGAAGAAGTGGCCCGTGCACAGAATCAGGCCAACCCGGTAGCATGGGCCGCAGCTCATTACCCAAACGTAGATCCGAATTGGAATGTTAATGGTGCTGATATGGCTCACCTAAAAGCTTATAGGGAAGCCATTATTACTGGCATGAAAGCCGGAGGGAAAAAGGCGATCAATATGTCAAAGACGGCTGAGGTATTGTAGAAATGTGATGAGTCGCCCAGTGCCTTTTATGACCGATTATTGGAGGCATACCGATTGTATACCCCCTTTAGTCCAGAGGCTCCTGAGAATTCCCGGATGGTAAACTCTGCCTTTGTCAGCCAGGCTTACGGAGATATTAAAAGAAAATTGCAAAAGCTAGAAGGGTTTGTAGGGATGTCTATAACTCAACTAATGGAAATAGCAAATAAGGTTTATATGAATAGGGAGACAGAGACGAAGAAGGAAGAAGAGCGTAAGATGAGAAGGAAGGCAGATATGTTAGCGGTAGCTATCGCTGGTGTAGATAGAAGGGAAAAGGAAGTGTACAGGGGAACCGAGAAAAGCGAGAATAAGTGGAATAGGGAGCCTTTAAGTAGGAACCAATGCGCATATTGTAGGGAAGAAGGGCATTGGAGGAGTGAGTGTCCATTGAGGGAACAACATGAGAGAGATAGAACAAGGGATATAGTAATAACTATAGAGGTAGAGTGAGAGGAAGAGGAGGCCCTGGAGGAAATGGTGGGAATAGTAGAGGAAGCGTTCAAGGGGATAGGTATTACCCAGCAGCGCAGAGACCGCGAGAAAGAGAAGATAGGGACTTTGTGGGTTTGGCTGACACTGTCATGGAGGACTATTGATACCGACCAGGCTCCATCCCCCTTGGTCGAGCGGAGCCTATGGTCGATGTAGCAATAGGGGGAAAAAGGAGTTCTTTCATGATCGACACTGGTGCTGAACATTCTGTGGTAACCGACCTAGTTGCTCCTCCTTCAGGAAGAACTATCACTGTAATAGGAGCAACTGGGAGGAGTGCTGCTAAACCGGTTCTCAAAAGTCGACTCTGTACACTGGGAGGCCACGTAGTGAAACATCAGTTCCTTTACATGCCTGAATGTCCAGTCCAACTTCTAGGACGGGATTTGTTGTCGAAGTTACAAGCACAGATAACATTTCTGCCTAACGGAACGACATCCTTGAAGTTTAATGGACCCTCAGGTATAATGACACTATCAGTACCAAAGGAAGAAGAGTGGCGACTTTATACAGTGATGACAAGTCAAAACCCTAAGAGTGATGAATCCTTGTATAATATACCAGGAGTGTGGGCAGAAAATAACCCACCAGGACTTGCTCGCAATATCCCACCTATACGCATCGAACTAAAGCTTGGGGTTTATCCAGTAAGCCTGCGACAATACCATATACCTCAAAAGGCGAAGAAGAACATACAGTCTTATTTGGATAAGTTCATAAGGTATGGTATCCTAAAATTCTGTACTTCCCCCTGGAATACTCCATTGTTGCCTGTTCAGAAGCCTGGGTCAGATGAGTATCGTCCTGTGCAGGATTTGAGAGCAGTCAATGATGCGGTAGTAAGTATACATCCAGTTGTGCCCAATCCTTATAACCTGCTTGCCTTGATTCCGGGTGGGGCTACTTACTTTACAGTCTTGGACCTTAAAGATGCCTTCTTTTGCCTACGAATTGCTACAGAAAGCCAGTGTATCTTTGCATTCCAATGGGAAGATGCTGTAACGGGCTCGAAACGTCAGATGACCTGGACAAGATTGCCCCAAGGGTTTAAAAATTCACCTACCCTATTTGGATCAGCATTAAGTCAGGACTTATTAGATTTCAAGTCCATCCCAGGAGAATGTGTACTACTACAATACGTGGATGATTTGTTGATAGCAGCAGTTACTAAAGAGATATGCCAGCAAGCAACTTATGATTTACTGCACATTCTTTGGAAGGCAGGATACAAGGTGTCCAGGAAGAAAGCTCAGTTGTGTCAGCCAACTGTCAAGTATCTGGGATTCCATATCTCTGAAGGTCAAAGGATAATGGGGCCTGAAAGAAAAGAGGCTGTATGCCAAATACCAACACCTAAGAATAGAAGACAAGTGCGAGAATTCTTAGGGGCAGCAGGCTTCTGTAGGATATGGATTCCCAGTTATGCGATACTGGCGAAACCCCTCTATGCCGCTATTAAAGGCACGGAACATGATTCCTTCCTGTGGACCATCGAACAGCAGAAGGCATTTGAGGATGTTAAGAAGGCATTGATGAGCACCCCCGCATTAGGTCTACCTGATCATACACGTCCATTCTACTTATATGTACACGAGCAAAGAAGCATGGCTGTGGGAGTACTGACACAGTATCTGGGATCATGGAAACGACCTATTGTGTATATGTCCAAACAACTGGATGCAGTAGCCAGTGGTCTTCCTCCTCGTCTAAGGGCCATAGCTGCTGCCGCCCTGTTGGTAGCAGAAGCTGACAAGCTCACTCTGGGTCAGGAACTCTATGTCCGAGTCCCGCACGCAGTACAGACGTTGCTAGACTATAAAGGTAATCATTGGTTTAGCAATAGCCGCATGACTAAGTATCAAGCCATGTTATGCGAGAACCCGAGAGTGCATCTTGAGACTGTTAATACCTTGAACCCAGCTACCCTCTTGCCGCAACCTACTGAGAGTCGACATGATTGCCTGGAGGTAATGGATGAAGTGTTCTCAAGTAGACCGGACCTTCATGATTTTCCCATCCAGAACCCCGATGTTCAGTATTACACGGACGGCAGTAGTTACGTGAAAGAAGGGATTCGCTATGCCGGATATGCAGTGACAACTATAGACAAGGTGATAGAAGCGCGGCCATTGTCAAAAGGAACATCAGCACAGAAGGCAGAATTAATCGCACTTACACGGGCTCTGCAATTGGCTGAAGGGTTGAAAGTAAATATCTACACAGACTCAAAGTACGCGTTTTTAACCACACATGCCCATGGAGCTTTGTATAAAGAAAGAGGATTACTGACCTCAGAAGGAAAAGAAATCAAGTACGCAGCTGAGATATTACAACTATTGGAAGCTGTATGGGAGCCGAAGGAAGTTGGCAAAAATGTGTCAAGAAACCCAACTCAAGTGGAATGTTCTTTTGCCAATAGCTCTGTTGCGCATTCGTAGTACACCTACCAGAAAGTTAGGTCTATCACCCTTTGAAATTATGTATGGGCGTCCACCTCCCATACTTAGTAACTTAAGGGGGGACTTGAGTCAGTTGGGAGAAGGAATTACCCGGCGGCAGGTTGTAGAGTTGGGTAAAACTATGGAGGAGGTACAGAAATGGGTACAAGATAGGTTACCTGTAAATATTTATCCACCTGTCCATTCTTACCATCCAGGAGACCAAGTTTGGATAAAGGAGTGGAACAGTGTACCGTTGGGGCCAAAGTGGAGGGGTCCTTATGCTGTTCTTTTGTCTACTCCAACAGCTATAAAGGTGGCAGAGGTGACTCCGTGGATTCATCACTCCAGGGTTAAACCAGCAGCAGATTCTTGGCAAGCTACTCAAGATCCTGAGAATCCCTGCAAGATCCGGTTGAAGCGAGTGACCCAGTTAGATTAAAAGTGGTTTTTGCGAAGAGTATTGTTACAAGGGAACATCAACAAAGATCTACAAGTAAGTGTTTTGACGGCCATAATAAAGCCTGACCACCTACCAACGTTTAAGCCAGAGGAATCCTCTGTGAAGAACAGTGAGGATCAGAAGGACTCCATTCCCTGCAGCCCTCACACGCCTGGAAGCTGAGGTGCCATCGCACGGTCGAAGAATTAGGAAGAAGATGTCAGGAGTAATGTGTTTGATGATGTATATATGTGTGTTTTTAATTATTCAGGAAGGTAGAGGTACCGACACACCAGGCTGCGAGGTTTGCATTAAGACTACGAAAACAGGCAATCGTATTTCCCAGACCCTTATTTGGCATTCGCAATATGAGTGCACAGGACATGTATCAAAGTGTAGATACCTAGGTACAGATTATAGTGTATGCCATATAGGAGCAGGAGAACCTAGGTGTTTTAATCCTGAGTATCAGCCCCGTACAATTTGGTTGACTATTCGGAATGAGAACGCACAGGGGAACCTGATAAATAAGACTGTACTAGAAAGCATACATTCTCCAGGTGTTTTGCTATTTGATGCATGTAAGGCGATATCAGGTAGTAGGAAGCCATGGAATGTATGTGGTGGTCTTAAATGGGAAAGAACGTATGGGTCTAATGATAAGTATATTTGTCCTAGTAATAAGCATTAGTATATAGATCCAAACTGCCTAAATAAAGACTACAATTATTGTCCGTATTGGTCCTGTGTGGGATGGGCAACCTGGGGACAGACAGTAG